ATCTTAATAGCCCAGCAACTACCAGTTCTGTATATAAAACTAAATCGGCTACTGAGTCTTGTTGCTCTGCAGACTGTTCCTTTATTATGGAAAAAAAAGCAAAGATCTTCTGAGAAACTCATTAAAACAATCTTTAAAGGTCAGATGGAGAGCTGCTTTAAAAACAAGAGCACAAATAAAGAGAAATCCAGAGAAATGGTCTAATGGCTTCACTGCCATTCAGAGCTGTACAAAGTCGTGAAGCAAAACTTTGAGATAATTGCAATATTTGTCCAGCTGTTTCAAATGGAAAGCATGGATAGTGTCCCTAGAACTGAATTATAAAATTGTGGAGAATCTGCCTTGGTGCTTAAATGTCTTGCAAACAAACTCAACAAATGGGAACCACATGTGATTTTCCAAAATATACCTGGCTGGCTTGTTTTCAAAATATACCCAGCTGGTTTGTGGTCTGAGTTGCAAGGAGATCTGTGGTGTAAGTGGTAAAACAGAGTGGCATTAGATAAAAATTATGTGTGTTTTGTGTTATCAGCTTATTTCCAATTTATGGCAATCCTATCTTTCCAAGGTATGAGAGATTTTTAGGAATGGCTTTACCCTTGTGACCATCCTCCATGAATTTGGTGGCCAAGTAGGGATTTGAATCCAGGTCTTCCTAGTCAAACACCCTATTCAATACTCAAATAAAAATTATTTGGATGTTTAAAACAAGTTCACTTAAGAACTGGATCCATGCTAGAAATATAAGCTTTTCATGAACCATAGCATGAAAACTGATTTGTCCTAACAATAGCTTGGGATCCAGTTTAGTCAGAGCTTCACAAAGCCATAGTTGCCGATATATGGATAAAATGGTACTCTGTAGTCACTTATAATGGCAGATGGAATGGTGGAAAATAATGCCTTTGTGGGGAAATGAGTGAGTGGATCCCAGCACAAACATCACAAAGTCCAGATGTTCCTACACCAATTATACAGTTTTAGAGAATCTTCTCACTGAGATCACTACTCAAATAAAATTATTTGGATGTTTAAAACAAGTTCACTTAAGAACTGCTCAGACTCACCTGTAGATGAATTCATGAACCATAGTATGAAAACTGATTTGTCCTAACAATAGCTTGGGATCCTGTTTAGTCAGAGCTTCACAAAGCCATAGTTGCCGATATATGGATAAAATGGTACTCTGTAGTCACTTATTGTGGCAGATGGAATGGTGGAAAATAATGCCTTTGTGGGGAAATGAGTGAGTGGATCCCAGCACAAACATCACAAAGTCCAGATATTCCTACACCAATTATATAGTTTTAGAGAATCTTCTCACTGAGATCTCAAAACTTAATTAAAAAGGAATCTTACAGTGCTTGATTTTAAAACCTTCTTCTAAAACACCTGCCAACATATTCTATCAGATTTTGTCCTGACCCATTTTACTTTTTAATGGCTGGATTTAAGAATGGAACAAAACAGTACCAAATTTCCAATACTTAAAACCAAAGGATGAGGAGGAACCATGTGCTACCCATCTGTGTGCACTAAACCATGGTTTAACAGTGTGTCTGCATGCAGCTTCAGCAACATAAAAGTTAATGTGATGACTGGAGTACAGAATTAAAATTCAGAAGGGCTGGGCTGCATTGTTTTCCTGGAACATTTGTACAGCAAGGCTAAAGGAAATGAGGTGATAATGGATGTGTCTTTATAAGATTAGGTATTAGATTAGGCATCCTTCAGTCTCGAGAGACTATGGTAACGTGCTCTGAATAGAGGACTTGGAACAGCATCTAGTGTGGCTGAGAAGGCCAATTAGAGAGTGACAATCCCTTCCACAGTGATCCAGAACCCCAGGGTTTTTTTTTTGTTTATTTGTTTGTTTTTCTAATTCTGGGGAAAGAGCTAGCATGCCCATTGCCCACATGCTTACTGATGTTATGGACAGGGGTCATAGCAAGGATTTATCCAGGGCAAAACTATAACTGCATTTCACCTGCTCCCATGGGCTGGGCTGCATTGTTTTTCTGGAACATTTGTACAGTAAGGATAAAAGAAATGAGGTGATAATGGATCTGTCTTTATAAGATTAGGCATTAGATTAGGCATCCTTCAGTCTCGAGAGACTATGGTAACATGCTCTGAATAGAGGACTTGGAACAGCATCTAGTGTGGCTGAGAAGGCCAATTAGAGAGTGACAATCCCTTCCACAGTGATCCAGAACCCCAGGGGTTTTTTTTTTGTTTATTTGTTTGTTTTTCTAATTCTGGGGGAAGAGCTAGCATGCCCATTGCCCACATGCTTACTGATGTTATGGACAGGGCTCATAGCAAGGATTTATCCAGGGCAAAACTATAACTGGATTTCACCTGCTCCCATGCTATTGGCCCAATGTTTCTAACAAGAACCTCTTGGATATAAAATTTCCCCATTAAAACAAAACTTTTAAGACTGGTGAGAGATGAAAAGGTAACTGACAGCACATATCTTTACTCAGAAGTAAGCCCCACCAAGATCCGTTCACTCCCAACAAAGGGCATATTAGACTGCTGCCATGTGATCCAATCCTAGGCACTGTTAATTGAGGTGAAATTCCTTTCTGGTCATTGGAAATGATGTCTCAACAGACATGTACAAGAGTATTACCCAAGCCTGGAAGAACTGTCACAATGCCATGAGCCTTCAACTGCTAGGACTCCCCTTCCAAACTTGGGGCTGTCCAAGTGCTTTGTTTGGACTGTCTGTAACCTTCATGGTGCTGAACCAGAATGGGGCCATGGTGGTAATTGGGATCCAGCCCATCTATAATATACCATGTTTGGGAAGATCAGGCAATTCTTACCAAAAAGAAGTTATATTTGACTCTACATGACAAACCCATTTTCATTTAAATTTAAAGATAAGAAACTATCTTTATTCTTTTATCTTCTGAATTAGGTGCCCTGTGCAAAATAAGTGATTTTTGTTTCCTCCTTGAATTAATTAAATTCATTCAAATTACATGACAGGGAAATATCACCCACTGTATTTCACTTACTGAGTTTCTCCTCCCCTGCTCATTTCTCCTTGAAGCACAAGTGTTTGGCCAGCATTCAGGATGGCTGGCACCGTGTTGTACAATAATATTTTTTTTAAATGTAGCCATTGGTCCCACCTAAAACAAAGCTGCCACTTGGCAATGGAGCTATTAGATGTTCTTACTTTGAACCAAACATATTATGGAACATTTTGAGATATAAAACACTGAAAGAGCAGGGAGAAGTCATTTTCATGGACTACATTTAGATTCCTCACTGTGCCTGCTTGACAGGGACTGGACTCGAATGATCCATAGGGTCCCTTCTAACTCTGCAGTTCTAAGATGATGATCATCCTGATGATTATGCTCTTTCTGTTCAGAGCCTTTTTTGAGGACCGGAGCTTTATAAAAAATGCACCTGTTCCCTGATCCCCACCCATATGACATAAGAAGTCAAAGGAAGCTTGACAATGGGAACCCCATGTGACACAGAAAATTCAGTTCCTCTGCTCTAGTTTCATGGCTTAACCAAACATCAGCTGCCAGAAGAGCTGTGAGGATAAAGAGTGTTTCCAGATGAGGTTTTATTATGCAACTCCTTTGCCTTATTTAGTGAATTTTATTGGATTGAGGATTCCAAATGGTGTCGTCTTCTATTTGTAACATTCCTTTGTTTTTCTACAACTTCTTCCTTCTTTTATTTTTGGTCACAGATAAAGAAAAGCCAGAGACTAGAACATTATTTTTAAGTGGATCATTTGTAGCTCACCATTTACTTTTAAATGTACCTTTTAAATATTACTTGTTTTTAAAATACATATACTCTTTTTAAAAAGAGTGCTGTAGTATTTTGAGTTGCTATTTCCTTAAAAATACACTTTAAAAAAATAGTGCCAAAAATGAGTCCCAGCAATATTTTAGGAATGAGGAAAGAATGCTGTTCATTACATTTAAGGTCTGTTTGGTCATCAGAGAAAGCAGAGTTCTGTGGTTCTCCGATGCCTGAATAGTCCCCAACCATTGAGTTATGTGACAGGAAATAACAGTTGCCAATTATCAAGGAAGGAAATCATATTTCAGGAAGTAAGTGCTCAGATGGAACACTTCCTGATTCAATTAAAGTAAAAGCAGTAAATAATGTTAAATAAATAAATGAGCGAACAAACGAATGAATGAATGAATGAATGAATGAATGAATGAATGAATGAATGAATAAATAAATAAATAAATAAATAAATAAGTTAAAATGAACATAAAGTGGGTGCTGAAAAACTGCACTACTGATTGTCAGTGGCTTAAAAAATTAATTGAGGAGTCTTGTGTGGTCACAAAAATGGCTTGGGGGTGACCACATATAGCCTGCATGCCACATGATGCCCCCCCTTACATTCAAAATTATAATAACATTCTGAGTCATTCATTAAAAAACAAACAAATTTACTCCTTCATTGCCACCCAAAAGTGTTATGTTTGAGGTAGAATTGATTTTACTCTGAGGTTGGTTGTAAGATTTTGTGATTTTTAAAAAAGTTAAATATGGTTTTATCTGTTTTTATTCTATTAAGAAGTCTGCAAATTGCCTTGAACACTATCTTCTAGTGCAGGGGTTCCAACCTTGGGTAATCCAGGTGTTCTTGGGCTGCAAATCCCAGAATCCTATCACAACCAGCTGTGCTGGCCAGGATTTCTAGGAGCTGCAGTCCAAGAACACCTGGGTTACCCAAGGTTGGGAACCACTGGTCTAGTGGAAAGGCAGGGTATAAATGTAATAAATAAATACTAAACAAACAAATATTTGTAATACCTTACTTCAAGTTCTGTACTAGTGGCATAAACCCTTTTAATTGGTGGTGCCATCTGGAAGCACCCTTGGTCCTAATTTCCTTTTACTGTGTTCTTGCCATAGTAAAATAGCTCATGTCCTCCAGCAGCATATTCTGAGCCAACATTTTCCTGTGAAAGCCCACAACCCAGGACACAGTTGCTTACCATTTATTTTGTTCCCCTGGAGGTAGAGATTCTCAAGGCTTGTACTGACTCGAGGTATCTTCTGAAGCCTGTTGTAAGAGAGATCCAATTCTAGAAGGCTGCTGGTGTTAAAAGCATTGGGAGCGAGTCCTTCATTGGTCAGGCTATTGTGAGACATCCGTACATAAAGCAATTTAGGTGAGACCTTGAAATAATCATCAGGGATAGTTTGTATGTTGTTGTACTCCAGGTAGAGTTGCTCCAAGGAGCTTGGAAGACCATCAGGGACTTTTCTAAGTTGGTTGTAGCTCAGGTCTGCCAGAATCAAAGACTTTAACCCCTTGAGGTTTGATCCTATTTCATGGATTTGGTTGTGGCTAAGATACAGGGCAGTGAGGTTCTCCAAGCCTTCAAGGGCATTGGATGGGACCTTGGAGATCTGATTATAAGCCAGGTGGAGTTCACGCAGTGATCGTGGCAGAGGGTTAGGCATCTTGGTCAGGTTGTTATGGTCAAGGTATAGCCTCTCCAGGCTCTTGAGCTTGGCAAAGATCCTCTTGCCCATCTTTTCACTGGTGATTTGGTTGCCATGCAAGGCAAGCCACTCAAGATTTGTGGCATTATCAAAGGCTCCCTCTTGGATGGCTGTGATTTGGTTGTTCTGGAAGTAGGCATATTTCATCCGGGAAGGCACAAAAGGAAGATAACGGAGATTGCGAGTGTCGCAGTACAAGGCAGCAGAGAAGTTGGGAGGGCATTCACACTCATGCGGACATTCTCTTGAGACAGGAGCTTCAGGAATGGGTTCCCCGACAGAGGATCCAGCTGGCACGTAAGAGTAAGATTCATATGGGGGAATCTCATCTTCATAATATGGTGAATAGCTGTAGGATGTGGACTGGCTGCGTAAATACTGTTGTAGCCATAACACGTCATCATAATCATCGTACTGGCTCAAGGACACTCCGCAGAGGCCAGCCATAATAAAAACAGAAGCCCAGTGCATCGTGCTACAAATCTTGTTCCAACCTATAAAGGGTACAACAAGGAAGAAGGGAAAAACAACTACCAAAAAAGCACAAGTGAAGATAAAATAAACAAGCATCAATTATCCTGAGGATATTGTTGGAGTTCAAATAGATGTTAAGCATGCAGGCTTTCCTTGGATAACATTGTATAGTCAATTCTTGCAACTCAGAAGATCAGAGTAGAGTTACACAGGGCTGCAGGGTTGAATGCTGTTCCTCCCAACACTTCAGGGATGGTGAATGTGTGGCTCTTCAAATGTCAGTGGTCTGCAACTCCCACAATCTCTAACTGGTGGCTAGTTTGGGATGATGGGAGTTGGAGCCCAACAGCTGGAAAGCCATACATTCATTCAGAGGAAAAATGGTGAGTTGGGAGAAAATGAGGTTGAAATTTTCTCGGGATGGTAGTTTAACAAATGCAAGGAACAGCATCCCAGACTTTCAATGAAGACACATTTAAGCAGGCCACCCATCCCACCCTCTGACCTGGAAATGATATCATCCAGAGAGAGACATAATGCATGTTTCTATTGTCTGTAGATAAACTGCCCCTGTGCAACTGAAAGGGAGACGGATTCCCCCGGTCAACAAGACTAACGAAATTGTTTCAGTGGATTATAATCCATGCATTTTTGTACTACAATAAATTGTTAGTCTTTGAGATGTCACAGTACTTCTCTTTCAGCTTTGTTTTCACTTTTTTTGCCACTGAAACAGATTAGTTTGCTGCCTTCACATTCCTAACATGGCTACCTCTCTGAGAACAGTTTCTCACTAGGAGTCACAACAAGCAAGACAATGGATAAAGCACTTGTTCCGGGCCATTGAATAAATAATCAGTGGCAAAGTAGCAATAGAATTCATAACTGTAAATGGCTAAATCCAGGCCTACCCTAATTGTATTCTGGATTCTGTCTAATTGTTACAGCAAAGTGTGGAGTGGGGGAATATAGGAAACTAAATTATTCTGTACTTGAATATACCTTTGCTTACAGGCTATCCTCTCAGTCTGTCTCCTCAGTTAAGTTCATTGAGAAGTATCTGAGAAAGAAAGCAGAGCTTGGGAAATTTACTATTTAATAGCTTTAGTAATCAGAATCTTTCACACAATTCTGTAAAAAAATTCTTGAGGATATTTGGGCAAACTGAGCAGAGCTAAGGCACAGTATGGACGTCATACTTCATTTCTTCTAAGAGCTGGACCTAGGCACTTTCCATTTATACATCACTGGGAAAGAACCATGTTTAAAGAAACTGGTTGACTGCCTTCACATCTGCTTTGGCCCTTAGAGTGCAACCATCCATCCATAATGAAGCCCTGATACTGGCTGCCCCTTCTCCCTTAATAGGTGCCCTCAAGAGGGGTTAATTTGCAAGATAAAATTGGGAAAGAAGGGTATATTTAACCTTTCTCTGCCAGTCACAGGTACCCAGTATGTAATGGATAGAGTGGCGGACTAGGACTCTGGATACTAGGGTTTGGATCTCCATGGAAACTCACTGAGAGAGTGGGAACAGGGCATGGAAGCTTACTGGGGGAGTGGAACTTGTGAAACCATGTATTCGCGAAGGCTTTCACGGCCGGGATCTAATGGTTGTTGTGGGTTTTTCGGGCTCTTTGGCCGTATTCTGAAGGTTGTTCTTCCTAACGTTTCGCCAGTCTCTGTGG